ATCATCAATAAAGTTATATCTAATACCACCATCGAAGTACCATTCATGTGGCTAAAAAAAAAAAAATTTTTTTTTTTTTTTTTTTTAGAATATAATTATAAAATAATTTTTATAACTAATAATAAATCAAGATAGATCTCGATACAAACATCAAGAATAACATATTGATCGCCAGTAAGAAAGGAAGGAGAATCAGTTATGTGGTAAATTGAATTGAAACCCACGCCCATAGCTATTAATTAATTATGGAAAATTATTAAATATTAATATTGATCCATCGTTAGTACAATACAATGTTAAAATTACTTACCCCCGATTTTATCAAATTGATCTCTCTTTTCACTGTTTGCCAATCTTAATAAGGATTCAAAATCCCGATCCTCAAACGCAGCATCGTTTTTTGATAAAAGCGCTGGTCCTTGAAATCTATCCAATTTCAAGTTACTTTTATCATATTTAGGTTCGATTAAACTATTAGTTGGATAAGTATTATGATCCTATTGACAAGTTAACGATAAGTTAATTTTTGTATATATTATATATATATATAATATAGAAAATGAACATACCAGTATAAAAGTTTGTGAGCGGCTTTTAGAATCATCAGAGTTTTGAAGAATTTCACGGAGTATTTGAGATCCATCCGGATATTCATCGAGAATCCTATTCAAACGATGAGTATATGGCTCTCCAGGTTTAAAGGTTTTGCCTTTCATTATTATCTTCAGTTAAAATAAACTTGAAAAAAGTTATGATATATTTACAATAAAGTTTTTTTTAACTTTTTGCAAGAATTTAAAACAGAAAGACCGCTTTTGATTCTCCGTGAATCCGTGTTTCACTTTTATCGTTATTATTTCCTAATTTGTCGGTAATGGTCTTATGATGCCACCGGACTTTATATGTAATTGAGTTTGATGCGGCTAAGCACGTGTATAGTACATTAGCTAAATTTGTGTAATTACAATTTGACGACATACATTATATACGTGTACAAAGATCGAAAATATAGCAATTTATCTTAAATGGTCTAAATGCAAGCGTACAGTTTGCAAGTGTAAACCTGAATTTATCAACACGTGTAATTAAATAATATATATAGCGATAGTTAACTACAGTATCATAATTCTGGTTTTTTTTTTTTCGTCTGGAAAACTTTAAAGTTTTATGCACCCCATTTTGCAATTCAGTACCATACGTACTGGCCAGTGACGACGATTTTCTGCCGAATTCTAAGAGGGTTCTGTATCTACTTCTGTGATTTTCTATAATACTTCTGTACTTTTATTCCCGAGAATCCTCACTGACCATGCTCGTATTTTATGTTATTAATCATCCACCTTTCCGAAAATCATCATCCCTGGTACTAATTTTCACCCACCCTTTAAAAATAGACTAATACAAACTTGTAAATATTAACTAGGAAAACGGATTTCGGAGCGCCACTTCACTTCGAACAATGTTGTCATGTGAATACAATATTAAAATTTATCGGTATGTATGGCTTTTTACAACTTAAAAAAAAGGCGTTGTACATTAATACAAATAATAAATTATATTTATTTTCGTTAATTACGTTATCATTGGTTTTTTTTTTATTACTTTCATTACTATAATGAACGCGATCGTGCATAATAATTTGAAAGAATAATATTGATATGTACTGTATTGATTATTGATATGATTCTTATTAGAAATTTACCTTATTTTGGACTCCGAACTGAGGTTGACCCTCACGGAATTTTTCTTACCTATTGTCTGGACTTAAGTTCCTCCGCTCTACTCCGGAAATTAATAATAATTTTGAAATAATGCTTTTGTATAAAAACATTTAAGATATTTAATCAAATTTTATTATTCAAACTTGTCAGAAAAATGCTAAAGATGAACAATAGTACGCATAATATTTGTGTGTAGGGTGTGGAATGGGTCGATAAACCCCGGATATTTGTTGCCAAGCTGGGCTTTGGGCCCTGTCAAAATTCGCAAATCAGAGTCAAATTTTGTATGACGCAACTCAGTTTCAAACACATGCTGTCCAAAAATAAGCACCTTCATTAACAAAAAAAGGGTGCTTAATTTCGGAACTATACGGTATATTTAAATCAATTAAATATTTGATTTTTAAAAAGATTATAAAGTTTTTAATAAAGGGTGACGTACAGTTGTTACGATAAACGAAACCTGAACAAGTTTAACTCGAGTTTTTTGATCTCATGAATTTAATTATGTAAAGATTAATCTTTAATCTCATCGTGCTCGAAATTAATATTAAGAGCAAAAGCTTCAATTAAATTTTTAAATAAAATAAAAAAGAAATATTATTAAACTTGTTATTCAATAAATATAATCAACTTTTTTATTTAATAAATATCATCAACTTGTATTTAATAAGTGTTTCTCATTAATTATGATATTATGTGTGGAATTTTAAGCAAATAAACTATATGAATAACTTTCAATGACTATGTTATCAACAAAAAATATAAATGCAAGTTTAAACAATATTGAAGGAAAATCTCTATATTATTACAGTTTGTGTCTTCAATTACCACCTAAGTTATTTTCGGAATCAACTTAAGTTGAATCCGCCTACTGCAGATGTAACTAATGATATCTTTTGGAAAAATCATTTAAGTCAAGAAGCCATAAACATATTTAATTTATCCAGACTTTTTGCTACCAGTAGATAAATTTTTAGAGGATTCTTATTGCAAATATATATACTTTTCCTTTATAATTTCGTATAAAATAAGAAAACCCAAACAAGTTTATTTCTTGTCAGACTCAATCACTATAAAATCTGTTATGTTTTGGTCTGAAATAATAATGACTGGGTAGAAGTATTACGAACTACCGTATGCTTTAAATGAAATCAACTGTATATTAATTTTTTAATTGAGTCAACTTCTTTGAATAATAAATTATTATTGTTAATAAGACATCAACTGAAAAATGTCAATACAAAACTATTCTAGTTAAAATTTTATGCTTATGGAAATTTACTAAATTACATCATTGAGACATTATCGTTTTATAAATTATAGTATTTCATTAACTATTATGAAATTTATAAGTTATACCCGTATGCTAGTTTATTTACAAA